GGTGCACGACCTGGATTTCGCTGATAGCCTTTTCCTTTCGTGTTGGGGACTCACATGCCGTCCCTTTGTCCTTTCAGGAGCACCTGGAACAGGGGTTTGTTGAGAGGAATGGTCTGGAGGATGCTGCCATCGGAACTCACGTAACCAATAGCCCACTGCCCCAGGCGAGTACAGCTGGGTCGGAAGATGTAGCTGTGTGAAGACAGACAGGATGGAGTGAGAGAGTGTGGTTCCTGCTGCCCCTGCTGGGAACACGCAGCTGTCTGCCCCTACCTGGGATCCAGGTATCTCAAGGATGTTAACCACTGAGCGACATGTCCGGTATGACACAGAGACAGAGATAGAGACAGACAGACTGAGAAAGACCCCCCCCTTCCCTTCCTTCCTCTCCCTCCCCCGGCTCTCAGTGAATGGGGAGCTCTGGGAAGTAGCTGCTATTCTACCATCCTTAGCCCGTCAAGGAGCTCCATCGACCCCAAGCTCCTGCCTTGAAAGGATGTAAGGTCTCCGATGTCAAGTTTTCCCAGTCTCCTCCTCTAACCCATGAGGGCTCACATCTGAAATATTTAAGAGGTGGACAAGCGGAGCATGCCGCCCACCTATAATCTCAGCACTTAGGAAGCCGAGGCAAGAGGCTCCCAAGTTCAAGGCCAGCCTGGGAGACCCTGTCCCAAAAGAAAACAAATAAATCCTAGCAAAACGCTGAGGGTAGAGGTGACATCTGTGACCTCAGCATCCAGGGGGTAAAGGAAGGATGATTGGGATTTCAAGGGTCATCCTTAGCTACATGGCAAGTTTGAGGCCAGCCTGGGCTATGGGAAGCAAGCCTTGTCTCAAAACAAAACCATTTAATGGGTTTACCGTATAGCCTCTGATTTGTCAGAAATGGGCATTATCTCGGGTAGGGCCTTCAGGATGCCTTGGTGGACCCAGTACTGTTGCTTTAGTTGTTGGACCATGGGATGACCCAGGAGGCCCCAGGAAAAGAGGCTGGGCATCAAAACTCAGGGATTTTTGTTATGTTTTGTTTCGAGATAGAGTTTCTCTGTGTATACCTGGCGGTCCTAGAACTCTCTCTGTAGATCAGGCTGGCCTCTGAATTCACAGAGATCTGCCTGCTTCTGCCTCCTGTGTGCTGGGATTAAAGGTGTGCGCCACCATGACAGGCTAAAATACCTGGGTTTCCTTCCTTCCTTCCTTCCTTCCTTCCTTCCTTCCTTTCTTTTTTGTTGACAGTACTTAAAGCAACACAGGCTGGTCTTGAACGTCTCATCTTCCTGCCTCCCCCTCCCAAGTGCTGGAATTACAGGAGCACACCACAGGCCTCCATCTAGCTGCAGAGTTCATGACCTCTGGGTTCCCAGGAACCTCAGTTCTTGGTCTCTCACACCTCAGAGACTCTCCCACACACTAGCCAGGACTCGACCCCAGAACTACCCAGTCCCCTCCCAACCAGGGAGCCCAGCTTTGCTTACCTGCCTGGTTTGTCCCTGCAGGCCTGCAGGCGTGTCTGGACCTCATCGTAGGTCAAGAATGCCATGTAGCCAGGATGATTGACAGCCAGGAGTTGCCAGTTCCTGAGCAGGGTGGGCCACGGCTGGGAGGGACAGAGATGGTCACTAAGGGACCAAGGAAGCAGCCCATGATCTAGGATCTTCAGGGCCAAGAATCCACCACCTTGCTCACACCCATGGTGGCCCTGGACACTATACATAGGAAACCATACTACACCCTTTCTTCCTCTGGACTCAGTGGTCCAAACCCGGCCCTCCTCCTTTAGACAGGGTACCTAGTCCCCACAGGGCACTAGGTCTAGCCTTGACCTTTTCTGACCTGGAAGAGCCTTGTGAAGATGTCAAACTCAAAGACAGACACGTGGCCGTTACAGGTGAGGTCCATGGTGGAACGCAAAGCCTGCATGGTGGGGCCAGGTTCCACAGGGTGGCAAGCGCAAAGAAGGCACTGAAACTCTGCCCAGGGAAGCAAGCACCTGGATGGGAAGGGGTGAGGTTGCAGCTGCCGGATGGTGGGAGGGTCTATAATAACGGGAGGCTTGCGTAGGGCGGTTAAGGGACTTTTGCAACCCATCTTCCCCCGGCGAAGGCTCACTCACCGGAATCCACAGCGCTCCCTCCAGAAGGTGTGGGCAGAGTCCTTACTGAGCTGGTACAGGTGTCCACAGTATTTCCCCCCAGGGAAGAGTGCCTTCAGCTCCGTGTGCATGTGGCTGAAGATGAGGGCCAGCTTGGCCAGCTGTCGCCTGCAGGAAACAATCTGTGAGCATCACCCTGGACGTAGGAAGAGTCGCTACAGGCGCAAGGCCCCCGGATTCCCTCTAGTGAATCAGTGCACCAAAGGTGCCCGACTCCGTCCCAGGGCCGCTCCTCTGCGAGCCTCAGTTTCCTTATCAATGAAAGAAGCGTGGAAGCTAGTATCCAAATTAGCCTCAAATCAACACAACCCAGGCCCAAGGCCTGCTGTGGCTGGAGAAGCCTTGCCTACTGAGATGGTGGGTACGAAGTCTGTGTTCAGCGCATAGCCAGTACTGTTTTCCACGCCAGCGGGTGCAGTGGCCGCCTTTGGATTTTAGATCAGGATACAGAAGGCAGTAATGGGTTTTCTGTCACATAATAGCTATGAAAGTATTGAGAATCATTAAACAAAGTTTTTCAAGTCTCCTCAGTTTCTCACCTGTAAAGTAGAAATAAATAGGAGAGGATAGCTTCTGAATCACTGGGGAGCTATGAGGGGCTTGGTCATGCTTTATGAGCAGAGAGGGCACAGCTCTGGGCGTGGCTCAGTGGTAGAGCCCCTGCCTAGACTCCCCCAGTGAGGGGCCGGGGGGG